AATTGTTTTTCTGCGACTAAATCCTACAGCTGTTGTAGGATTAGCAGGAAGCTGTTATTAGGATTCCAGCCATTACAGAGTACACCATCCGTTCTCCTTATCAGCAGACACTTATCTCACAGTGAGAACAGAGCTCAGCTTCCTCTTCTTGTACAGCATTAGTGTCGTTACTTAAAACACACCAGCTAATGTTAAAACAGTCAGCGGTCAGGAGGACGAGGCGCTCGTCTAAATGCACATTTCCCTACTTAGAAATCTGCACAATAAATGGACAGAAATAAAGATACATCAATGTATTTGTGGGTGTTAGCCACAGACTGGCCTGTTTCTAGGAATAAAAATGTTTTTGTTTTGTTTTGTTTGTGGTGAAAGAGCTGTTGCCTCACAGTGGATCAAATCCTGGCCTTGAACCTCCAGTTTTCTCCAACAGACTGAAAAACACGTTAGATTAATTGGTTATTTCAAATTCTTCCAAGATGAGAGTTTCGACAGTTGTTTGTCTTCTTGGTGTCTCTGTGATGGATTTATGACCTGTCCAGGGTGTCCCCCGCCTGCTGGACATAGATCCCTGTTACCTACAGAGATTAAGCAGGTAAAGACGATGAAAGGGTTTTAGGATTTGGATGGAACCATCTCTATTTTTCTGTTAAAGGAGTCCAGCTTCCCAACATTTAAATTACTCACCAGTTAATGTTTATTCGGGTATTTTAATTTAGATTTTGCGAAATGGGGCTCTGTGGCTAGTCAGTATCTTACCTGCAGCAGACAGCCATCATGGTGACATCAGTTCAAAAACATAACTAAAGCTAGCATAATGAAACTTAATATCAGAGAAGGATTAACTCAAAAACACCAGAAACTAAACCTTGACAGTTCTGGCTGCTGTCTGCAGCAGGTAAGACACTGATTTCCTGTCACAACAACCAATAATTACTGCTTCTGTTAGCCTAATCAATACAACAATAAAAACAAAATTTTGGGCAGAAATTTGCTGAAACTGGTCATAAAACATTTCCCTTCCCTTCACGCTTTAGCAAGAGAAGTTAGCTAATTTTTACATATTTAAATGATGCTACTTAATAAAACTGTTATCAAACTGAGAGGCTGTGACATAAAGATGCAGTTTTAATGAGATTCGACTGCCGCCCAGCCCTGCTAACCTCGGCAAGCGTGTCACGATTTATCTCCCCAGCTACACAGACACACATCGACACCGAGGAGGACATCCTAATGAGGCGCAGGAGCAGCATTAGACTTGTAGATCAGAAGGGTTGCTCACTCGCTGAGGCTCACAATTTAATGGATTCCTAATCTCTAACCTGAGCAGGAAGAATGGAAACTGAGAGTAAGGAGAGTCAGGTCTACGACAGAAGACAGGACATAATGGATTATTTTTAAATCTTACGTGTCAGAACTGAATGTAAAGTTATTCAACTCAGCACAGATTGAAAATGAGACCGACATAAAAGTATTTAGCAGTTTAAACGTGAACATAATGAAGCTTACCTCATTACTCTGCTGTCTCGCCCAATAGACCTCTCAACTTCTACTCAAGACCCGACTCTTATTTTAATGATGGAAACAGCAGGAATCATTGTGAGAAACAGCTAAATAAAACATCTTAATAAAGGAGAGTGTGAAAAACACTAGAAATACGACACACCAAACCACAGGGTGGTGCAGTTCGTCCAATTTTATTAAGTTTAATCCAGGTTTATGAAGGCAGTCATGATATTTGCTTGACTGATCATTTTGTTAGAGAACTGAATGCTTCAAAGCAATACTTGAGTATTTAACTGTTTTTAAACATAAACCAATGTCCAGAAGGAAGCAGCTCGTCTTTAACAGGTACTAAAAAACATGAACACATAACCCCGGTCCTGGCTTCTCTTGTTTGACTTCCTGTTCACCTGCGAATTGATTTTAAGACTTTATTGTTGGCTTTTAAAGTTTTTAATGGTCTGGCCTCATCATATTTATGTGATTGTCTTAACTGTAAAGCACTTCAGTCAGCTTTTGTTGCTTTTAATGTGCTATACAAACAAATTTGACATTGACATTACCACCAGTTCGAATTTTACCATATTTTACCATATTTTACCATTGACATATCCTGCTTTTAAATCCTCCCTTTTCACATTTAAATCCTTCAGTTGGAGTCTTTACAAAGTGGAACTGCAATACTTCGGTCTGAATTTCTCCTTATTCTAACTTTACCAGCTCCTCTTTTAACCCTTTTTTGAGGTGTGTCTCAAAGCAGCTGGTTTTGTTACTGTTCCTTCAAGACACTTTAAGCCCCGCCCCCCTCCAGCTTCCAGACCGGTCCACTCCGGTTTTAAAGCGAGGTTTAGCATTTTGTAGCTTGCACAAACATTTTATTTACAATTTAATTAAAAGACATCAACAACAGAAGACTTGTCCATCCAGCCTGACATGTAGGAGCCAGAGGAGGATGAAGAGGAGGAAATTGTAGTCGGTAAGTCCAGACCTTCTTTGACAGTTCCATCGCAGATAATTTGACGGCAGATCAGAAAACAGAGAAAACTGAAAACCTGAACCAAACAGAATATGAAAATTTCTTTGAGCACCAGGAGCAACTAAATTCAACTTTTCTGCCTGTTAGACACTCCAAGTCCAACAAATGTATTTAACAGCTAAAAAAGTGTATTTTGCGTGACATGTCCCCTAATGTGTTGCTGACAGCCTGGTCCATCATCCTGAACTCTCGTCCGTCCCTTTTTCATCTCATCTTCCCAAGAATCCACTAGTGTCTGGTTTTCCTTCTATCCTTCACTCCAAGTCCCCGGACACTTAGAGGGAATTGCGATCGATTGGCTCTAACCTACTTTCCTCCATCAGTGTCCATCTCCCAAGGATTTTTACTTTTATCTTTTTTTGCTACAGAGCAGACAGAAACATGTCTCTTCTTTCCCCTCTTTTAAAAGCATGTTTTTTATTACTCTGCTTTTTCTTTCCCATTTCCTGCGTTTAAATTTTTTTTAATTTATGCTAAAATGTTGCTGCTTTTTCCTCCTTTTTCTTTAACTTTATGTTTTTTTTCTGCAACCAGACTGACTGAACAGTCAGATGCACGTCGTCTTATGCTGACGACGCCCGAGTGTCAGAGAATTAACACTTTTTAAATCCACGTCGAGAGCTGCAGCGCGTGTCAGAACTCCAAATAAAGCATCTTGGCTTTTGAATGTTTTTAGTAATCTTCCCAGGCTGTAAACCTTTTTTTCCTCCTGCCCTCGTCTTCAACCTGCTGGGAGCAGACAACAGGCATCCATCAGTGGAAAACGAGCAAATTCCTCCCCCCTTCCGATGAATTTAAAGATTTCTGCAAACTTTTGGCTCAGAATCCACAATAACTTCTGCGCTGTAGCTGCGTGTGACACCGAGATAAAAGGAGCAGAGACTGATTTCAATTTACTGCAGGAATTTAAAGTCGCATCCAACTTTCTGTTTTTATTTTTTTCTGTTAACCTACTGATCCTCTGTTCTCCCTGCAGTCCCATTAGTTATCTGCTGATGGCTCATTAAATGTTAAACAGCAGGCACAAAGAAAGATGGAAGAGGGCTGTTTGGAAGGTTTGTGTCGAGTCCGCAATAATAAATGGACATTTGAGGATGAGAGCATGGGATCAAAGTCAGGCAGGGCCACTGGGTTTATTTTAATATTGTGGAATGATAAAAGGAAATCAATATGCAAAGATTTATGAGCAGTTTATGCTTTAAGAGGCAGGAATAAGAGCCCTAGTTTTAAATTAAATTTTCAAAATACAACAATTTTCACACAAACAGTTTTTCTCTGCTGTTTTAAACTACGTCTATGAAAGTTTCTGTCATCCAAGCATGTTTTTATAGGCTTTCAGATAAACCTGAAGTCATACAGATCAGGTCAGGCTGAGGGTGAATTTATACAATATTGCTGCCATCTAGTGGCTAAAAAGTGCAGCACAGCTTTACTTTATAAACAAATCTGTTTTTTCAGGTGGTCCTAGTTTGTCTGTATATAATGAAGACTTGAGCATTGATTTGTTTGTGTGTGTGTGTGTGTGTGTGTGTGTGTGTGTGTGTGTGTGTGTGTGGTGTGTGTGTGTGTGTGTGTGTGTGTG